GAAACGATGTTTTCGCCCTTCTCCCGACCGGATTTGGCAAGAGCTTGATCTACCAAATGGCTCCTCCTCTCACATGCACGGGTTAGCTTCGGTGTGAGTGGTTGAAATAGCACGTCAATAAAGATGACAGACAAGTGGCTTATCCAATCATATGCAAGGAGTTTTGATAAGGCCCAGCCTTCAGTAAAGGCAATTCCTATGGCGGGTTCCCAGATGTATGTGAGTGGAGCTAGGCGGAGCGAGACATGCATCTGGCTGTTGTCAGGTTAGTGTTCTTTAGGCCTAATGAGTAAATTAAAAGATAGGGTCTGGTGTTCAGGGGGGAAACCAAAGATATTAGGTCCCTATCCACCTTGGTACATACCTACAGACCTGTGTCCGCTATGTAAAAAGTGGAAGGGGACTGCCAGAGATGACAAGGAAGGCAGAAGCTCCCCATACATCTCAAAAACATTTTTCAGGTGTGTACTATGAACTTTAAGCCACGCCCCCTTTTGTTCTCAACTGAGAAATAAGATTGGTATCTTCGCCACCACTGGTTTTAGCCTCAATGTTTACATCTGTCAGGGTTCATGCTACATGTAATTGATCGTTGTGCACTGCTTCTTCATCTTTATCTTCAGAACAGTTAAAATAAATAGCAATGTAAAGCATATAATAAAGCATACTGTCTATTTGTATAGTTATTTTCCATTGTTTTTAATTGTCATTACACTGTCACAGGCACAGAGCAATGAAATGAACACTCTGTATTTAACCCATCCCCTTAGGGAGCAGTGCGCTGCTATTGTGGGCCGCCCGGGGAGCAGTGTGGGGTTAAGGGTCTTGGTCAGTGACCCATCGGCAGTCCGTTGGAGTGGGGCATGAACTCAGAACCTCAGGGATCCAAGCTCTATGCCCTGACCACTAGGCCGCCACTCCCCCAAAGCAGGCATTAGCGTGAAGGGTCTTGCATAAGGACCCACATTGGCAGCTTATTCCCCCCAGCTGGGGGATACGCACCTAGGCGTCCTGTTTGCAGGATGGGTCACTAAACATATTCTAATCATAATCAGAGTTCAAAATGAATTTTTATATCATGAAATGTCAAAATTTACTTTTAAAAACAAATGCCTTTGGCTCTCGTTTGCCATGAAGCTGGCGAGCTCATGACGCCAGATGATGCTAAAGTGGCTATGCTAGTGTTGTGAAGGAAAACTGGAGAAGGCGGTCCAGTGATGATAACTGACTTTGTCACTCAGCCATTCAAAATGGCCCTTCCCAGACAGACACCAGCCAACTGGCAGCCCGCTTCCCTGCAGCTTCCAGCAAAATCCTCTCCAACTTCCAGCCACTGGCCTTCTCCTGGGCGTGCATCATTTTTTAGTCTGATTCCAACCTTACACTGAATTACAGGGCCTGACCAGGAGATGGTGCTTCTCTTTAGATCGTAATGTCCACAAATCATGACAAAAAGAATATTTTAGTAAAAAGATTGATGTTTAAAAAGGAATATAAAGAACCTACTAGCACTAAGTTGCTAACTGGTTAGCAAGATGCTTCTGAGACACCGGCCACAATCATACTTGCTTGTGAACCTTTTGCCAAAACAACCCCACCCTCTTGATAAACGACCAGTCACAGGCGTGCACCACCAGAATTTGGAAATGCAACGGTTGGAACGGCCGTTTCTCTTTGACTTTAAAAGCGTATACCAGCCCTTGACGCCCCACCATGGTTTGTATGCTTGTAAATTTGAATAATGCTGTGAACAACCTCTTACTTGAAGCCTGAAAAAAGTCAGGTTTAAGTATGACATAAAAAATCTCAATAATTTTATGAAACATTTTTATTTGAGCTGGAAGTTCTTAGTTGATGATCAAACTAAATAAAGGCCACATGTTTCTGTTTCATCGTATGTCCTCCTCCAGGTCCGTCTGCTGTCTCTGGCCACCCAGCACTCTGATATAGTGAGTGTGTGCTACCTCCTGAAAGAGGCCCGTATCCCTGTTCCTCAGGAGCCGTCGCTCTGTAACCCGGCTGTCCTGGCGGCACATTGCGGTTTTTCCAACCTGCTCAAGGAACTGCTGGATTCCATACCTAGTAGGAGAATAAACTCTTCAACAATCATCACTTTTTATTCAGCTAAATCTGATTCAAATCACTTTCAAAATCAAGGTAATGATTTGGTGGCAAGGGTCTAAACAAATGAAATGGATTTGAAGCAGTCCTGTGCATGATGCTTCAGTTTTGTATGCTAGGGCCTGCAGAAGTATTCACTACCCTTTGGCATTTGTTATGCTTTGTTGCTTCACTACCTGGAAATAAAATGAGCGCTACAGCTGGAAGTTGCCAAACTAGGGCCTCTAGGGGCTAAGAGTTAGTGTTGCATTGGGCGGGGCCCCAATCCAGCACTAAAATGGTGGTATCGTTATCGGCGAGTACCTACAAATAGGGCACCAATTCCATTTTGAGAGCCAAAAGTTTATTCAACTATTGTCACCCAAAAAGTTCTACTGGATTCACTTTGTATGAGTCTTTTTCCTGTTTCACAAAGGTAGGCAGCAGCTTGACAAAGCCATGATGGCAATTATTTTACATCCAATTAGTATGCAGATCTTCATACATACACACACGCACATCAATTCAAACCGATGGTATCGGCCAGTACTGCACAGCCAGGTATTAGGTATGGGTATCGGGGCCAAAAACACACAAAAAAACATTGGTGCAACACTAGTTATCAGTTATCGTGTCATTGTGGATCCCTTTAAGTAATTGAATAGTAATTGTAATAGTCCTTTTTGTTTACCGGTTAGGTGTTTGCCTGAAAAGAGACCTGGTGAACTGCCTGCTCGCCACCGCCTGTCAGCAGGGTCACTTGGAAGTGGTCCGTCTGCTGGTCCACAGCTACGAGGCAGATGTGAAGGACTTTGCCATCCATAGCAACGAGTTTGCTGTGCTCTGCGGGCTGCCGCTGTACGCGGCTGCTCAAGCAAGTAAGGAGACAAGGGTTTAGTTTGGTGTTACTTTCTGCTCTGAAAAGATAGTAAAGTGATGTTCAATCTCTGCTTTATTCTGATTTCTCTTGGTGGCCCCTCGCATAAATCACTTTACTTTCAATTTCTGAGACTAGCAGGAAAGAACTGTGTTTTCTTCCTTAAATAGTAGGATGAGCTGTTAGCTTTGAATCAGCTACTACTGTAGAGAAGTTTCCTGATGAAATAAAGGCGGGAGAAGAAGATTTAAGTTCTTATTTACTGAGATCCAAATCACTTTTATATCACAAGTCAGGGTTCCTACTGGTCCTTGAAATCTTTGAAAGTTTGTAAATTATGTGAAATTAGGAAGCTGAGGCAGAGGCATATCTTGCAAGAAAAAAGGTTAATTTTGTTTTAAAGTCCTCGGACGGAGAGATAGGCTCTCTGACAGCAGCAAGCTCAGTATAAACATTTATACCTTACAAAATCACACACACTCACTTTGTTTTATTCTTTTTGTATACTAATATGTATTTTACACTCGTTTTTTCTCTATTTTATAATTTTATTGTATTTTATGATTGTGTACAGCACTTTGGTCCTGTCCAGTGTATAAAGTGCTTCATAAATAAAGTTGGTATCGTATGGTGCACACACTCACTCCCCCCTAGGGGAACCACCCCACCCCCTGTATAAAGAACTTTCTCACACTTGAATATTTGGTTATTCCCAAGAAAAAACACTTGACATACAAAAAACAAGGACATACATTTTAGCCAGATAAACACTCTGCTGTTCACGGCATCAAGGAGGCTGTGTGACCTCATTCTTATCTCTCATGAATCTTCCCTTCACCCTTGTCTAGAGTAGGGAGGCAACTGCTTTCTGTCATCCCCACTCTTAGCTCCATAACTTAACTCCAGCATACAGACTGGTACACCACATCTAAACAATCACCTCTATTTAGGCAGAGGAAAGGGACACTCAAAATATTTTATCTCACAAATAGGCCAAGGAAAAATATTAGGAATGCTCGATATTGCCTTTTTTGCCGATATTCCAAATGCTGAATTTTGGATTCCGATATAAGCCGATACCGATATAAACTAATTTCACATCATGGCAGTCACAAAATTTAAGCATAACCTAGATTTACTGTGATGCCCCACTACACACTGTATATTCCACAAATAATTACCATTGTAGAGGATAAAAACAGGATTTCAACTTCAGGAAAATGCAAAATTTGACATTTATTTTCAACAACATTTTGGAATATGCTCTTCCTGAGATTAACCTGACAATGAATATTCAAACAAGAGATAAATCTATTTTCTTCACAAATAGGAAAAAAAGTGTACCTCACTAGTACACCTGTATTGCACAGAATTGAATGTAAACACAAATGAAGTCTAATGTAGGATCGCTGTTGAAGCACGTCTTGGTTCCCCCACGCATGACAAGGACCTCACATTCGTTGCAAATCGCAAACTTCAAGTCATTATTTGAAACTTTAAAAAAGTTCCACACCGCAGACATTTTTCATTACAAACAGTTTAGCTTCGCTGCTGCAACACAGTTTGCCGTCTGGCACAGTTTAATGACGTCATCAGTGAGCCTCGCGTGTTGGCAAGAGCGCTCGCTTCAACATATTTCGCAAAATCTAGGCATTATATTATCGGCTTTTAATTATCGGGAGAAAACCCGATAAGGATATGGACAGATATCACATAATTATGCTAATACCGGCCGGTCAATATTATCGGACATCTCTAAAAAAATATGCTTCCACAATAAAAAAAAAAAAAAGTTCAAGGCCCCAGGAAAGTGTTTGAAGAAAGCCATAAAAAGGCACCAGCCTGTCAGGTGCACTGCCTGCAGCAGATCAACCAAAGCAGAGACCATTGGTGAAGCTGCATTGGTCCAGTTATGATACATGAGCATATCATAAAATATTCCTTTGAAACTGATAGCAGGGAGAACATGTTGTTTTTTTTTTTTATGTCAAATTGTATGCATTGACTCTGGCTGCCGGTGTTCTGTCAGATGAGCATACCCCGTCAGAACAGCATACGCATGCGCAAGACGTCAGATTTGTGTTTATCCCTTTAGTTTTGTATGAAAAATAGACTTTAAACTATATCAACGGGCGTGCATCGCTTTAGTCATGAACAAAAACTAACAAATTAAAGGAGAAGTTCGGTTTTTAACACTTTTAGCCCATTTTGGCATACCCCTTGAAGGGCATACCCTTCAAAAAACACCAAAAAGTAAGTAATGAAGTCGTTTTTTTGTACATGACTAAAGGGATACATGCCCGTTGAGGTAGTTAGAACCGTGTTAAGGGATAAACTAAAGGGATAACCTGGTATTGACTATGGGTATGCTGGTCTGACAGGGTATGCTCATCTGACAATCGGTTCATTTCTCATATAAAGAGGCGATATTGACACATATTTTACTGCAGTATTTGGCTTAGAATGAAATAGCATTTAATAGAAATTGTATAAACAATTTTATTGTTTATAGTTATTGTCAAAATTGTAAGAAATAATTTAGCCTGTGGCCACATCAGCAGACTTTATTCAGAAACTTTATGAAGCTGAATTTCTTTTAAAGAATCAAACATGCATCCTGAACTATTAAACAATTTTCTGCTTAGTCGTTGCATTTGAGAGCACTGGCCCTGAAAAGTCCTTGAATTCCATGTAGCCAAGGTGTGGGCGCCTGAGCAATATGCCAGAATTTTACTTTGTTCCTGCTTCAAAAAACAGCAGCTACAGATATGTAATATGTTTTAAACAGATGTTCCTGTTTTTAGAAAGTCTGAAATAATATGTCTTAAAAATTAGGTTAAACATCTTCTTTGCAGAGTGGGCGAGGAAATAGGTTGGACACCAGTGACCGCTTAGAAATGCTCCATGCATTCAACATTTCTTTGAACAGTTCTGCAAAAAATGTTTGCATGTGTTTAAGGGGAAGATCTAAAAAAAGCAGCAAAGAGAAAAAGTGTGAACTTTTTTATCTTCAGTTTCTTCATCAATATGCAGATAATATTCTAACAAAAGCACAAAATTCTTAGTATTATTTACCACGTGCAATGTAATTTTTCCATTTGAAACCCAACTGCAGTTGTAGGTTTGGTGTCTATTTTAGCGCTTTTAGAAGTCTGGAGGAAAGTTGCATGCAAACATTACATTTCTACAGTCACTGTGGCTGCAAAGGAGGATGATGGGGTGGGGGGTATTCTGTGACCATGTTAACACATTTTAACAGTCACAAAAAAATAATACCGGTAGTAAAATAATATCAATAAAGAAAAAAAAAAAACTCACAGGCCATCACAAATTAAACGCAGCTTGACGATAGACATTGTATAGCTAAACTAAAACAATGACTGAACTGAAATGTTGTGGCAGATTTATTAAAACACCAAATAGAATCTTAACGGCCACCAGAGAACAACCTTCAGCGAGCCTGTGAAGAGATGGGAGGATTTTTTTTCCTAGTGCGTCTGCATGAAGCATAGTTGTGTTTTATTAACACTGATGCCTGAATTTATATGCATGTTAATATTTTTTTGATTTTTTTTGTTGTCTTTTGGTTATTGCTAAATAAGGTTGTGATTGTTACTTTTGTTAATTTACAAAAACAGTAGAAATTTTGGTATGTAGCAAATTAGTAACTACAGGCTGATTGGAAAAAGAATAAGATAAAAATCAAACAATATTAAAACTGTAATAAACAGATTATATCTGTAGACAATGAATTAAATCATGTCTCTTACATTGTAACAGCCGATATTTAACAAATTACGTGTAACACAGTTCAAATTGGTAAAGGTAATTATGAGAGTCAATAATATATATATATATATCATATATTTATAGTTTTATATATTTATAGTTTTAAAGAAGGTTGTAACAGTCAATACAGAACTGCTTATTTAGGATAGGCGCTCTAAGTTTAGACTTTAGCCCACACCTTTTTACTGAAATATCTTCCTTTAAAGGAACCTTTATTATGTTTTTTTTTTTTTTTTTCTTTTGTATAATGTTTAGGAAATGCAAATATATGGTGTATTACATTGTATTGTTTGGAAACATCCATTTCACTAAAATCAAGGAATTTATAAATAATAAATTACTTAAAAATCACTCAGTAATCAAACTGACATTTATTTTCCAGTATGATATTATTTTAATGACTATTGAAAGATTATTAAAAGTTTTTTCTAAATAGCAACAGTTTAGGGCATAGCTTTAATATAATGGCCTGATTTAGTAAATATGCTACAAAGAAGATGGTCAGATAACTTTCATAAAATAGTTTATCTGTGAATGAAGGTAGTAAAAACACTCTAAAAGCAAGTCAGTGTTATTATTAGCTTTCCTTATACACAAAAATAGCTCCTTCTTTTTTGATTTTTGTCTTTAATGTCTTGTTCCTGAGAAAATATGTCCGTCAGCATCCAGTCCTACTTGAAGCAACTGTATGCCAAAGGTTCCTAGGTCTGCATCGGACGTATTAAAATTGGGATGGAAAAGATACTCTCCAGCCTCACCTGCTGTTGCAGGTCAATTTAAAAGCTGATGATGATGATGATAAGAACTTACGGAGTCAGATGCCAGCATTGCAACTGATAGATTTCAAGGGAAAGAATCTCTGCAAACACCTTTTTTCTCTCTGGCGTTTTCAAGTGTGTAAAGATGTTGTTGTGTTTTATAGGTAACGAGGAGATTGCTCACTTCCTGATAGAAAACGGAGCTGAATTTTCATCCTACACCCTGATGGACTATCCAGACTTCAGCAAACGTCTCCTGAGACAGAAACTTCATGAAACCACTGGTGCCAATGGAGTGGAGGTCTGTCTGTGTTTTATCCAGCACCTGTTTGGTTGTTAGAGGAAGAATCTGTTCTGATGATAAGGAGAGTGATTCAAGATTATGTGCTAATCATACCCTCCCCAGTGTGGTATTGATTGATTATTGACCCACCCTCTCCACTTAAAAAAAAATATACACATGCACAACCCTGTACTCGCTCTTGAGAGGGAACGTCTATTAAACGCGTGCAAGAGCATGCACGGGTCCATTTCTCCTCGTGCACGCTCTGTTTAAATGCTGCTGTTCTCATAGCTCATACCGGCTTACTGTGTCTGAACGTCTGCCCTAACACCAAATCCCTCAATCACTATATAGAGCAAAGACTGTATACTCTGTTGTCTTACCGGTCGCACAAATGATCACAGCTTTTTGTTCCCAGTTGGTCATGTAACTCCTCCTCTACAGCGCTGTGCCTGTGCCATTTTTCTTATTAGTTGCCACTATCAGGTAGCGACAGCGGGCAGCTGTGACAGAAAATCCCATAATGCTTTGCGAGGTGAGCTCTCCACGCAAAGCATTCTGGGATATATCTGCCTCTTCTGAGGCCTTCCTTTTCTTCTCCTACACTTCGTAGACACTTTTTCTCTTACGACCCTTGGTTCTACTTGGTCCCAATGGAATTTCCCATTGGGAACCTACTAGCACTAAGTTGCTAACTGGTTAGCAAGGAAGAAAAAAACTGGGCCAAATCACTTTAATGATACTCAGAAGACTTGGGATTTTAACATAAAGCCTCTGTCTGGTTAAAATATTTAAATAACTAACTCCAAAAGCCTTTTATAAATCATTTAGTTAAAAAAATATTTTTAAAAACTCATTTTAATTAAGTAGACTGGAGGACCTTGTCTATTCAGACAGGCCAACAATTCCCTTAACGACCCCCCTTTCAGAGGCATAGACAGGTATGGGGTATTGCAGGCTAACAAAAGAAGGCAAATGACCTCCCATTCCAAAGGTGTGGACCCCTTCATCTGTTCAAATTTGAATGTTTTCAAAATCTCTGTTTAAACTCATTCCTGACATTTTGAATTGGAAAAGCTTTCTGGATGGGAAGCAAAACGCCTTCAAACTTGGAAACAAAGTCCAGTGGATTGTTTTTAATATCCTTATTTTGTAATCATTCTAATTAGAGAAATTACGGGTTTTCCATTAGCTTTTAAACTGTAACCATCAAAGCTCGTCGTCTGAGTCAAAGCTGTCTGTTGGTGAGTTTGTCTGTCGCTTTGTGTCTGCAGGGAGTCAGCGTGTATTGGAGCGGCTTACAGCTGCCTTTCCTGGAGCTGGACTGGATCATGGATGTCTGCTCACAGATTACCCACCTGGACCTGTCCTCCAACAGCCTCAGTGCTCTGCCCTCCGTCGTCCCCTGGGGGCTCATCCACCTGAAAACTCTGGATCTTTCCAGCAACGCTCTGAAAGAGCTGCCGTTTGCTCAGAACTCGCAGGATGTGATCTGCTGCAGGTGCATGACGTAGATCATCTGAACACCTATTTTTTAATTAGATTTGCTGAAACACTAACCTTTATTCAAAGATATTTGATTCCTGCTTTTACCTTCACCCACTTTGTGTTTTCACTCTCAATAAATTAATCATTAAAGCTTTTGTTTGCATATAAAGAACTACTATACTATCGTGCTTCTCAAACTTTCCAATGGTTCAGGTTACAGGTTGTGACACTCTCCCATAACCAGCTAAAGAGTTTACCAACGGGACTTCTCCATCTGACCCGCCTTCAGAAACTCAGTGCTGCTAATAACCAGCTCACCACCCTGTTCGACATCCCCTCCAGTACGTTCCATACCAGGTTTTGTGATTGTGTTCACTAGGGGTGTGGGAAAAAAATCAATTTGGCGATAAATTGTGTTTTGCGGGTGCCCAATATAAAATCAGATTTTCAGTTCTAAATATCAATTAAAAATCGGAGGGAAAATGGGCTTCCTCGGCATCGCCACTATGGCAGATGGAGCTGTGGAGCACTTTTTATTGTGCGGCGCAGCGCCGCATCTGTAGATTAGTCAGTCAAAGTGGAAAGCGTGAACTGACTCAAACCCCAAACAACATGGATACCAAAATAACTAAACAGTCAGTATTATCTGATGAAAATATTCAGCACTTGCTTTATTATCTACCCATTTAATTTTGATAGCTGGGAAAAATATTGCAATAAATAGTGATATTGTGATAATATTGCATCATGACCCAAGTATCGTGACACGTATCGTATCCCAACACCCATCCAATACTCACCTCTACTGTTCACACATGACAGCTTTTTGGTCGGTAAAATTTGTTATTACCATGGTTAATTAACTGTTGTACAATATAATACAACAAAGCAATGCTATTTTATGGTTTGTTTCAGAATAGGGATGCAAGTTATCAGTTCGTTAAACTAAGGTTAATTGATCTTATTGATTGACCAGCTTGATATGCAGACATATTCTTAAAGTCGTAGGGAAATCATATTTAAATGTCAAATCAGTCTGGCTTTAACGTGTTTATAAATGTACTCTGGGATATGGGATTTTTCTGCAAGGGGAACCACAGCACCCACTGATCCATACCTGCATTGTATAAAAATATAAAAATCCTACTTTTCATTTTAATATGCAAGAGGCAGGTGCTAACTTTTGTTTTGTTTAATAATTCTTATTCTTTTTAATCATTGCTCTGACAGATGTGAACTGGATCGGTCTCCGTAAGCTGGAGGTGCTGGATGTGTCTGGAAATAGTTTAACCAGTCTTCACACGTCAGTCATGCACTGTTTAAAGTCCCTGCGCTGCCTTGATGTCAGCAGAAACAGATTGAGGGCTTTCCCCGACCCCTGGGCCTGTCCGCTGGTAAGATGTCCAACCACTCTCTCTATGCTTTAACCTGTTGGTGAATAAATGGTTAAACAAATGAGCATAAATACATGGATAGAAAAAAAAAAAAACACAATCTCAGAGTTTTTCTTTTTAATTTTCCTGACTTTCCTTTTTCTGGATTCCACTGTTTTTTTAAATTTCCGTTTACAAAATATGTTCTTTTTTGCTACAATAATGAAACAAAATTTACCCCATAGAAAAGACCCACATTCATTTCACATTAAACTGTAAAGTTAGCTAAAGAGTTACTCAGCATGTGAAGCATCAACAACACATCCTCTGACGATGCAGAGCTAGGAGCTGAATGCTGATGTAATGAGAACACGGGTCGAAGTGCTGCCAGTAAGTGGCTCAGATCAGGCATCTTCATGCACCGATCTCTGTTACCTGCTAAACAAAGAAAAAAAACAGGAATATTTAAGAATCAAGTCATGCTACAGGGAAGAAAAAAGATGTGTGAGATGTGGGTCACTCTGGGAAACCTGGAAGTTGCCCACTTTTTTTCTACCTAGCACAACATTTTCAACTTATAGCTCTAATGTACGGAAGCTGAAAGCGGTCTTGTCCCTGATAATTTTTAAGTACATTTTCTCATTATCTAAAGATAATGAAAGCCGTTTTCTCGTGATAATGAGATGATTGGTGTGTGGTAAAATACCTTCAATACCACAACAGCAGGAGAGAATTTAGAAGTATAAGTCATGGCAGCTTATGTTTAATTCTGTAAATCAGGGGTCTTCAACGTTTTCCAGGCCAAGGACCCCTAAACTGATGGCGAAATGGAGCGAGGACGCCCTAATTATATATATTGTAAATAGTGTTATATCAAACTGGTCCTATAGTCACTCTATTACAGATGAAGTAATGTAATGAAAGTAATTTCTCCCTGGGATTATTAAAGTATTTCTGATTCTGACTCCTGGTTGATGGGACAGGTGTTGTGAATGAAACGGTGTCCAGATTGAAAGAGCTCCTGTGTGTCGCTAAATGTGTGCATTGATGACTGAAAGACATCTTCTGCCTCCATTTATCTGTTTACTACAGTGTGTTGAATTCATGTTAATGTGGCTTTAATGACATTTCGATTAGTGGAAAAAAATTGCAGTGGGGAATATAAAAAAAGGTCTAATGAACCAATACTTTTGCAACCAGTTAAATCACAAGCTGTGAACTCACACTGTACGACTAAACCCTGCGGTTAGTCGTACAGTGTGAGCAGCAGCTGCATGCAACGACTGAGAAAAATCGCACAGTGTACGCCCAGCTTAGGGGCCGCGGACCCCCGTTGAAGACCTCCACTGTAAATAATCCTAACTTTTAGGTAACGCAACATTTTTGATTTGATGATTTGCTTCCACTTCTGATTCATAAGCAATTTGACATATGTGTCCAGGTGTTTTCTGAACAGCCCCGGTGTTACGACTCTAACAGGTATAAGATGCATTTACCCCCAAAATGGGTCTAGATTAAAGATTTTCGTAAAAAAAAAAAAAAAAAAAACAGTCAGATTTGTTAATACTATATTCCATGCAATTCAATCATCCACCACAACCTGACAATGAGTGAAAAGGAAACTAAATTTTTGCACACACGCGGTACGGTGACTGAGCAACTAAAGGCCCCACAGGCACGGATGGACTGGGAATCCAGGGCTGTTGGCCGGCCTCATTCATTACTCATGCAGGTTAATCAACTCGTTATCTTGAGAAATTCTTGTAAGATGCCTTCAGAAATGAACAGTAATATAAAACTGGTTGAAAAACGTGTGAGGATGTATTACTGAGGATAAGTGTCGATCATCACATCATGGAAAGACTTCAGTGCTTATATGATGAAACAGCAAACCTGCAGAAATGTTTGTAGTAACATGCTTAAACTTTTTCTAATCTCTTTTATGTAGAGGATCTGCAAAGCTTCTTCTAACATCATCGAGAACCTTCCAAACACCATATCCATCTTCTGGAGGACTCAGCTGCAGGAGGTTGATTTCTCTGACAACTGCCTGAAGGAGCTTCCCTCATATATCTTTGAACTGGAGGTACGAACCACCAGGTTCATCCTTACTGGATGGTTTTATGGGCTTTTATAATTAGCCTCTTCAAGCTTTAATTTATTTATGTGAATTAAAACAAAATAAACTTTGGTGATATTTTGTTTTCAAGTCAAAGCCAAATTAAGTTGTTTTGTACAAAAAGAAAAAGAAATGCAGGTGTGTAGCAAATATGCAACAACAGGCATTACAGTCAAAATTACCATGAAAATCACACAGGAAAAAATGTAAAAAAACAGATTTTATTAGTAGAAAGTAAATAATGTATCACATCTGTTTCTTTGGAGCTGTGGAGCCTTAAATTCAAACAGAGCCATTATGAGAAACGGTTGGTAAGGGACCGGTCCTGATAGAAACAAGTGTTTGCCAAAGGTTCCTAGGTCTGCACTGAATGTGTAAAAAGTAGCTCTAGTTTGTTTACGTGACACAAACTGTTTGTTGCGTATCGCTCAAATATTTGTCAACTGGCGGAGAAGTCAGACAGCTTGCCAATTGAATTATAGGAATAACTTATTTCAAGTATATAATATCTAATTATCTTATTTTGAGTGAAAAAATACTCCATTAGTATTATTTAGCAGCTCAGATTAAGGGCAAATACTCCCATTTTAGGAGACATTTTACTTATTTTTAGATTAGTTTTTGCAGTGTGTTGTTAGGAGCAAAGGTTTGGATATCAGCTCCTTTACCTTCTCTGCAGGATGTAGCTTTGACTAAGTGATAGAAAGAACTTAATCTCAGCCAAACTTCTGCTGGCAGAGCCGAGCCTGTTGATCAGAATTACTGTAAAGCAACAGATTTGAGGTGGAATGTTGTTGTTTTTTTGCATTGCAATGCTGATGCCAATGGTTGGAACTGAACGTCTTATGTTCTGGGTCAGTTTACAGTCACATTAGTAACACTAAGCCTGATCTGCATGATTCAACATCAGGATAATAGAAGGTTTGTTATTGTTTTTGTCATTAATGCTTTGCAAAGCAGAAGTAGATTTAGATTATAATCTGACCTAATTTGCAAACAGGAACCTTATTTGTTCCATGGGCTCTGGCTCTATTGATGTTCCCGGTGCTGTTAGACTTGACTGTCACCAGTACAGTGAGCCCCCCCCCATGTCGATGTCTCACCCTGCTGTTATTGGTTCTCTCCTCAGGCGATCATGTCCTTAAAGCTGTGTGGGAACCTCATAGAAACACTGCCTGCTCCCAATAAGTGGAAGTGCTCTAAGCTCAAGACTCTGGATCTTTCCAGGAACGTGCTCGGCAGGTAGGTCGACTCGCTACTGCTTCACATGTAGACACTTCCTGGTTCACAGGCGGTCACAACTCGCATTTTGTTGTTTTGTTTTGCACCAGTTAGGACGGAACATCAGGGGAGTTTGAATTACAGAGCTGATGGGGATGATAAAGTTTGTTCAAAACATTTTGTTTTGAAACTGAAGAAAAAGTAACTTAAAAAAAGACTTGAAACTGAAAATAAATTTTTGAGAGCAAAAATTGTTTTAAACATTTCTTTTCACTTTCTAATAGGTTTTTCTTTCAATTTCATTTTTTTTTTATTCAGTTTCAATGTTTTTTAACAAAAAAAAGTTTTAGCTTTACATGTATTTTTCTTTTTTTTATTTCAATTGAAATTTTGTTTTTTTATGTAAGTCTCCAAAACGTTTTGAATTTAAACAGGGGCTTTATGGCCATTTGGCAATTTTGGGGATTTTTGGGATGAAATTTAAAGTTGAAAAAAAATATATATATATATAAATATATATGTATATGTGTGTGTGTATATATATATATATATATATAAACAGATTTGAAACTAAAGGTATATATTTTAAATCATAAGTAGCTTTCATTTTTTTCTATTGTAAATCTATCTTTATTGCTCCAGGAAAATGTTGGTATACATTTTTTTAAATAGACAAAATCATTTGAAAAAAAAATATTTGAAACAACTTTTTAGATTAAAGTTTTTCTCTTTTTTTCAGTTCCCAGTGATGACTGTCAGATTAGGTGCTCTGCCTCTGCTGTAGTCAGTCTGGCGGTTCTCCGTTTTACTTTAATAACATCAGAAGGTCCAAAGAGGACTGAAAATGCTGCACAAATCTGTCAGTATAGTTTATCCAATGAGATTTGTGTCATAGGGTAACATTAACAGCTTAGATCAGTGAAGTATGTGGATTTTTAATACCAATTACATTAACATAGGGTATCGATGATGCTTTAAAAACATTTCTATTTCCTACGGTTCCTGAATGCAACATCTGGAAATATTTTGTCCAGCCACCTGAGCTGTCCACATCATTCCATACTCCATGACATTTAAGCCCCTGATGTCATGGTGTCATTACATCTGGAAAGAAGTGTTATATGTTTATAATCAATTATAATATAGGAAAAATAATACAGATTTCTTTTGTAATAATTTGAAAAAATATAATTTGAGAAAACAGAAAAGTTAATCTTAAAATCTTTTTTGGATCAAGTTTTATCTTCTTTTTTTTTTAAGTTTCAGTTTTAAAAACATGACAGTTGCAACATTGGAACATAATTCACTCCATATTTGTCTGGACCTGTCTGCAAATGTACTGCCTGCAGCCTTTAGTCTTAGTGTAATAAAAAGAAACCAACCAAGTCCCACTCCTACACAGAACAAGAAGAACCACTTCTTCTTTGCATGGTGACCTTTTCTCTTCCGTGGAGTTTTTGGTAAACTCCGTGACAGCAGAGTGATTGTTCTGAAGGTTTATGTGGTTTTGTTCAGAGTCAGTTTTGCAGTGTAGTCAGTCATTTTTACCCCTGATTTGCCTTTTTTCGAGTTTCACAGTGAATAAACTGATGTGGAGTTAGGAAGCTGAGGCAGACGCATTTTGCAAGAAAAAGGTTCAGATTTATTTAACGTCCTTAGACAGGACGTTAAATTTTTACCTTACAAAAATCCCAACACACATACTCCCCCCAGGGGAACCAACCCACCCCCTGCATAAAGAACTTTCTCACACTTGAACATTTGGAGAAAAAACAACTTCAGTTCTTTAAGGCCATTCACTGTTATTTTAATATATCTTTTACTGGCCAGATCTCATGACCTCTCATGACCTTCGTTTGGAGCCCGTGAGGCTCAGAACAGACATACCTCGACCTTTTTTACTCCACATTGAACATTTAGCAGCATAAACGATGCCTGTTATAACTGAGACAGTAAATGGATACAAACATCAACTCCAATGGAGATTACACTGTTATTCAGAGCTATTAATAAACCAGGAACACCTGGATCCACATGCCTGTGGTGAATATGCATGAGTTTGCTTGTCAGGTATGGAGGCAGGACCGGTTCCTCTGAGACCGCGACTGAGGCTGAATGATTAGAATTTCTACAAATGTTTTGGGACATCTTTTTTTTTTTTTTTTAACACCACTTAATGCAAAAATTGATGGAACAGTTGTTAATTCGTATACCAAATTGCTTTACTGGTAATAATTTTCATAATAGACTAATATTAAAGTAAATAAATGCAGCCACAAATAGAAAAACATTCTATAAACTTAAACCGACACTAAATAATCAATTATTGAAACCTAATCAAAGGTAAAAGCTTTGTGGATGCACTGTATGTACTGTATATATCCCATGCACATTTTTCTTCCTTTGGTACTTCTTCTTCTTTGACTATTTGAGCTGATGTAACCTGTACATTTCTCCACTGTGGGATTAATAAAAGCAAGCAATCAATCAATCAATTTCGAATTCGCCATAGTTGTGACACACAAAAAAGAAATATTACATTTTTTTACAATTATCACCACAGAATTTTGTAACACAATAATGCGAGAAATTTGCGGGAAGTTGCTAATATGCAACAGTGACGGGAAATAAAGGTAAAATACAGTCATTTCCTGTCCAAAATAATGATACTTGACAGCTATGCATATGTCCTGAACACACCGAATGTACAACTTTGCTTCTGATTCAACAGAAAATTGTGTTGTATGAGGTTGTGGTGCTTAGCGCCCATTGAAAGTGAGTGGGGATGAACACACCTGACATGATTTTCTCATGCCACCCCAGATAAGATAAGAATCCCCCTTGGATATTTGCCCATTTTCCCTATCAGAAATAGCGATTGCTGTTACCATTGGAAATTGCAGAGTTTGGGTTTTAATTAACAGAATGGTATTGCACCAGTGTTTGAATGTGCGTTTTTTCCACATACATTTATTAATTTTATTTTTAATTAATTAATTATTTTTTTGCCCAAAGGTTCAAATGAATTAGGCTTTTACTTTCCTGGTGTGTTCACTGTAAATGTCTATTAAAACTAGAGGTCATCCTTCTTGAAGTCATAGGGAAATCATTTTTAAATGTCAAATCCTTCTGGCTTAAACATGTATATAAATGTACTCTTTTTTTTGTTTTTTTATTATCTTCTGCAGGCCAGTTAGTTATACGTCAGCCTGAACACCTAAATTTGGCCAATCATATATCAACGGTCATCTGTCAATCAAATGTTTTCAGTCATAGCATCTTGATTCATTTGTCGCAGCTAATATACACAATTGTAGAAATAAGAAATAATAATCATTTCCTTTCCCATTGAGTTCCGTCCCAGTGTTCACGGGGATGGACGTCTGTGTCTTCAGCAGGCGTAGAGCTAACAGAACTGGCAGCGTTGCGAGGCAAGGGCTCAAACATGTACGGCTGGAAGCCTTCTACACCAAACCACAACATCTTCATCCCTGCTTTCCTCCTCCAAATAAAAAATGTATGACGGAGGAGACTCATCCACGACCTCTGACACAAAACTCTCCTCCTCTTGCATGTTTCCTCTGTCCATAGCGTTCCTTGACAGTGTCGTTTCTAAGTCACCAATTTAGTGCTACTTGGTCAAAATATAATTTCCAATTGGGAACCTACTAGCACTAAGTTGCTAACTGATTAGCAAGATGCTTCTGACAAACCGGCCTCAATCAAACTTGCTTGCGAAGCTTTCGCCACAACAATCCTGCCCCCTTGACAAACGACCAATCACATTCACTTTATTCACTCGTGTAAAGTCGACCTTCCCCAAAGGACCTGCAGGGCAACAAAGAGACACACAAAGACACACAAACATCCCAGTGCTCAATTCCCTGGTGCTAATTTATATAAAGTTTTTAAGGCTCTTTTAGCAGGAAGATAATCTCAATAGCTGGTGTGAGGGGCCCCCGACCTGCCCCAAAGTGCCCGAGCTGACTCCAGAACCCCAGATTAGCTTGCCCTAGCAAAGATCTTTTTTTTTTTTTTTTTATATGGTGTCCCACTGCACTTCTGTTTGGCGATAATGTTCTAACTAGTGTTGCACCGATACCGATACCAGTATCGGATGGGGCCCCGATCCAGCACTAAAATGGTGGTATCGGTATCGGCGAGTACCAACAAATAGAGTACAGATACCATTTTGAGAGCCATAAGTTTATTCAACTATTGTCACCCACTCCTGGTAGGCAATAAAAAGTTCTACTGGATTCACTTTGTATTAGATTTTTTCCTGCTTCACAAAGGTAAGCAGCAGCTCGACAAAGCCATGATGGCATTTATTTTACATTATTATGGTATGGGTATCGGCCGATACTGCACAGCCAGGTATCGGGTATGGTATCGGGGCCAAAAAATGGCATCGGCGCAACAATAGTTCTAACCAGAAAGGAGTATATTGAGAAAAATCTTTTAAAAGTGGCTTAAAAGGTTCCATATACGATCGCTGGTAAGTGTGTGGTCGTAGAAAAAACAGTACAAGGTGCACATCTAGACATAATTTCTTATGTTTTTGAAAACGTATTAGAAAGACATGTCCAATGACCTCATGGCATTTTGGGAAATGAAGGCTTTTGTCGTTAGGAAATGAAACAGTATGTGCTAGCTAGCAGGCTAGTTCTAACTATAGGAAACATAGAAGGTTAAACTAACTTAATGAAACAAATGTAAGATTTTACAATGAATAATGAAATTTAAAAATGGTGTCTGGAGAAAAAAGAACCGTGTGGTTTTTGTTAGTCCAGGAATTTGGACCTTATTGGATTTACACACGTGTAAACTGCTCAGTTCCTATAACTTTACATTTTCTTTACATCTTTCCTGTTTATTATTTGTCGTTCTATTTCATTGAGATTGCACTAAAGAATGTGTCTTCTCTTTAGACTTCTTACTACAATTAGCTTTTACATCTCAATTTGAATAATAGTACTCCGTTTGAATTGTAAGCATTATTACACTTACCAACTGCACAAGTTAAACAAAAAAATTACACTTTTCATTAACTTTATATTAAGTCACTCCTAAATAAAGTTGAAGAGTTTCCAGTTGCAGCTCACAGTCATGTTGGTATTGAGAAAATGTTGTGACAGACATAAAAGAATGAATAATTCCTGTATGTAACCTCTAAAAAAAAGCGGAGGTTTTCTGTCTCGAATGCCACTAAAGTAGAAACATCAGTTCGAACTCTCTGTGTTTTAGGACTGAAGAAGGTCCCAGATCCAGGAGGCTTGCTTTCCTGACAACATGGAACAGGAGGGATCCAGATCCAGGTAATCCACTTTGTCATTGAACTGACATGACGCAACATGCTGATTACTCCTGAAAGCTCATCGGGAACCGACCAATCAGCGATCATGATTTGTTGAAAAGGGCCCTCTTTTACCAGGCCTGTTTATTGGGCTGGTATTGCAAACATGAGAATCAGGTTTTAAATCACATCTGATAAAAGCCTAAATGTTTCAGACACTCGTTACTCTGACGTATCCAGAGGGAAAAATAATATTTCCAAAACGCATGGAAAAGTGCCAACTTCTAGCTTGCATGGAACTGTTCACTAGCAGTATGTGCTCCATCCTATAGGCCAGGGGTCTTCAATGTTTTCCAGGACAAGGACCCTAAACTGATGGTGAGATGGAGCGGGGACCCCCTAATTATATATATTAGATGAAATTGTGTTCTATCAAACGAGTCCTATTGTCACTCTATTACAGATGGAGGATTGTAACGAAAGTAATTTCTCCCTGGGATTATTAAAGTATTTCTGATTCCTGGTTGATGGGACAGGTGTTGTGAACGGTGCCCAAAAGAGCTCCTGTTTGTCGCTGAATGTGTGCATTGATGACTGAAAGACATCCTACCAACATATTCTCATTATCAGTTCGTATGAAATCGTACAAAAAGTTATGCACACTATTTCGTACGTTTTGGATGTTTTTCCTCAAAAAAACAGATCAGTGCGCATGCGCAGGCAGACAGACAAAAAAAGCAGATCCGCAGACAGACGTAAAAATGGGAAAAACAGTGCAATAATTACTTCTTCATGTCTCTAACTACGTTGCTTGCTGTTTTATACCTTAGGGTTAGGGTCAGGGTTAGGGTTAATTGTATGTTAAATTCGAAGTTATTAAATGGTGCGTAAGATGCGCATGCGCATACGGCGAAAAAAACGTCCAAAAAGTACGAAATTACGGTGCATAACTTTTCGTACGATTTCATACAAACTCATAATGAGAATACACTGTTACTACTGTGTGTTGAATTCATGTTAACATGGATTTGAATACATTATAATTAGTGGAAAAAACTGCAGGGGGGAATAAATAAAAAAATCAATCAAAACTTTCGCAACCCCCATGCAGTGCCTCTGTGCACCCCCTAGGGATCACTATAGGCGTATTACCGCCTAAGGTCCCTTATCGATTTGGAAATTGCGCTTCTTTAAAATTTTCAATATTTTGCATTTGCAATAAATGCTAATTGTCCAGCCCTTCTTTAGTTTATGTAAATGTTACTGCATATAGATGATGATCAAATAACTGGAAAGATACTTTTCGGATGAACAAAGCAGGCAACAAATGTTCTGTTGCACATGTTTAGAAAGATGTATAGATACACAAGATCTGCTGTTGATCATATATTGATTCAGGAAAGCTGAGCATGAAATGAGATCTTTGATCAAGATTTAGGGGACACCTCGTTTAAAGAGTTTGTCAACTTTTCCTTTACACACCTTTGACTTCTCCTGCTGTTGTCTCTTTAGTAGAGATTAACCTTTTCCAGGGAAAATAGATTTTTCATAAACCAACTTTTGATCATTTGCTCTTTTTAAGATTTATTTTCACCAACATGAATGTTTATGTTTTTTATGTTTTGTGTGGCTGCAAAAGGAAAAATGCTAATGTTAAGATGCTAGTTAGGGCTTGGCAATATGGCAATATCTTACAAATATTGAGTTTTTTTTATAATATTGAGGGAGATCAATGATGCGCTACACCTTTATGAATAATAGCAGGTGATTTTTGATCTCATGTTTATCTACAGTTTGTTTGAAAAAGTGTCTTTGATTCAGAAGTGCCTTTTAATGATGACTTTATGGAAAGAGAAATATAGAGATAAATATCATATATTGCCGTATCAGCCCTAATGATAATATTTGGTCTGGTTGGTTTTTAGTTCATTAGAGTTTAATGGTTTCTGTACATTTTCCCTGATTAAATCAAAAAGAAAGTAAAACTACAAAGATCATTTTATCAGGGTTTTATTGATGCTCTCGTTAGATCCCCGTTTTTTCCATATATTACTCCATAGAGGTTTGCCCCATATGTTTGACCTGAAAAGCTTTGAATGTGTGTTCCTCCTTTTCACAGTGAGTCCCATCGAGTTTCCTGGTGTCCTGCGGGATTCCCTGGAAGTGCTCACCTTGAACGATAACCAGCTGGAGTGTGTTCCCCAGTCACTGTGTGGCCTGCGCAACCTCACTGAGCTCTACCTGTCCAAGTGAGTCCCCGCCGCGACTGCCATGGTGCCCAAGTCAACAAGAGGCAGCCATCTTTAGGATTTAGAAGGATTTTACTATTATTATTATTATTATTATAAAGCAGTTTCTTATGACATTAACCTACGGAACAGGAGCCTTATTTTAAATTTCATTTAAAAGGCCTGTCATGTTTAGCTAAGGTCGGTCTGGTTTGCCTAGATACAGGTTTAAGCCCATGTCACACCTTGACAATTTAGACCAGCGTTTGCCTGACGTACAAAAAATCTGGAAAAAATGCTAAAATATGTTGGATAAGTTGTGGGTACATTTTGTATAAGTTACGAGCACCCTGAAGCATGCTTAAACACGTCAACATATGAAAAGTAGGTGGATAAATTTTAAACATGCAAAAAAAATTTCCGGCCGTATTTAAGCGTAAGATACAGGTAAGTTATCTGTTGTATAAGTTATCATTGGCATCAAGTGTAAGTTACTCATAAGTCATAGCATCTAGCTTATCCAAAACCTATGGGTAGCTTCTGCGTAAATTATGCATAACTTATCAAGAACTTCTCTCCAACGCATATCAACGTGTTCCAGACGACCTCTGAACATGTGTCTAACGTACAGCTACTGTATTATGGCGTATTGGTACAAAGGGGGTTCACAGGAGGAAACCATCAGTTCTCCTCCAGACTTAATCCCCATCATAGGGTGAGCATGAAGCTGAGCGTGATGGATCCTCCCTTCGTCTACGACCACAGCCAACTTCCTAGCAGACATGACGCTGAATCTGCTGCGACTGCAAACCTTCTTCCTTTCTTTTTATTTTCATTTTTCTTTATTCTTTTTTTTTTTTTTTTTTTTTTGGTAGGCCGTAAACAGCAGCTAGGTTAATACCATGATTAAATAAATCTTTTTATGTAAACCGGTCTAGGTACCAGATCTGCTCAGGTCCTGCTTCGTGTCAGTGACGTTACACTACATGTTTGGGTGAACGTTGCCACATGATGTAAAACATAGTTGCCCAGACAACCATAATAACATCACGCAGCGTCCGTTAGCGTGTCTAATGACTGATGAAGTTTACCTAATCGATAACAAAGCTAAAAAAAATCAGTTTATAATGAACAAAGTAACTACTTTTGAATTTGTATCAACAACAACCGTTCCTTTTGTACAAGTAGAATAACTGTTGTTTTCTTTGTCTAAAATCGCTATGAAGCAGTTTTTTTAAGATGCTTCGTTTGTCCTCTGCCCTCAGATCTTAATAAAAATAAGCTGAGACTTTTTCTGTCACCTTGTTAAACGGCAGAGCTCAGTCTGTCTTAAAAGGCAGTACTTTCCTTCAAGAGTGACAATGATTGTTTTCTACCTTCAGTTACTTTAGATCGCCAATGAAATGTAAAAAAAAAAAAAAGTAAATTTAGATAATATTATGTGGAAACTACAAAAAAGATTGGATCCTTAGGAAATGGATGCAATACAGTTTGTCCGAGTGGAGTTGCCATATGTTGACATCATAAGAAGGGGCGGGGCCCCGAGCAGATCTGGTACCCACACTGGGCACCTCCGGGCGCATCGCTGCCCCCCTCAGGACACTGGCTTGTGCATTATTTCATGTGCATTATGCTGCCGTGCGTTATGCATAAGTTAGGCTGTCGTTGGACATAAGTTCTGGACTCGTTATGAATACTCAGTGTATACGCCCAAATTAGAAAAAATATATAGAAAGTTCAGCGTATGCCTGCGTTTTAGGAGATTCTGGCAAGGTGTGCCAGGGGCTTTAGCATTTGGAAGCCAAAACTCAAACATTTAGACAGTTGGATGTAAAATGTTCCTGGCTGTGAGTTTCTGACGTTGCTCCTTTGTTTTTTTGTTTTGTGTTTCCATTGACAGTAATCCAGGAATCCGGGAATTACCAGCTGAACTCGGACAGCTATCCAACCTCTGGCAGCTGGACATCGACAACCTCAACATCACCAATATTCCTCAAGCAGTAAGAAAAGAAGGTATTGATTCACTGTAGGAATATAAAAAAGCCTTTATTAACCACACCATGAACTAACTACACCTCATAGAAGTGCTTTTATTTAAAAGGAACTAAATAGGCTAATAAAAACAGTTATTAATAAATGATTGATAATAAAATTTCCCCATTCAATACAAAAGAATACATAATAAAAAAAAATCTTATTTTTCCATCTCTTCTCATCTCATCACCCTTTTCAATCTATTTTATTTAAAAACATATTTACTTATTTCAGTATTTATTAATTTCCAAGCATTTTTATCAATTTATTAATTTCTTTAAGGTGTTTTATTTTGTATAACTACTTTAACTAGTACTTTTTGTGTCTTTTAGTTTTTGTTGATTAATTAATGATTAAATGAGCGGCAGAAGTTTCCTCTAAATATAACTGGCTATATTGGTAGTTTTTTATATTCATTGACCCTACAACGGCAGCAATTAATGGTCATGCAGATCGACCTACTAACACAGATCTAAGTTGTGGATTTGGAGGACAGAGTCGTTAAGGCCAATTTACGCTTCTGACGCATGGCCTCTACAACTGTCAAACTTGTCTCTGTTGTCATCGAGCACCTAAAAAAAATCCTGACTATGCTTCGAACAGTTTCAAACCCGCGCAGACCTCAAGCGGAAGTGTGCAGACAAAAAGCAGCTGCGATCAGTCCTTGGTGTGCCTTTCCGGCTGTCTGCGTGGTTCTTCATCCTGTCTCAGGGGTTGGACTAGTGTCACAAACTCCCCAGCCTCATTCCTGGTCTGACTCAAGAGGCGTACAGACCACCTACGCGTCCTCCTCTGCCTTTTTGCCAACTCAATTAACAGAACCTTTTCCTCTTTGATGTCTAGCAACTCTAGATCCATCTCCGTAATCTTGCAGACATGCCATTGTTGTTTTGGAAAATAAACACTCTGGCAGGCACCCTGAAGTTGTCATGACCATCCGCCAAAGTTCTCGCGAATTCTCGATAGGATGCAATAACATCACAGGCCAGCAAGCTCTGTATTTATGGAAGTAAACATGGATGGTAGTGCTGGAGCGCATCTAGCGATCTTTCCCAGCCATAAAAACATAATCTTTTCAAGATGGTTAAACATAAATACTGCTTTCTGCATCATTGTCCACCATGGTTGTTGCTTCTTCATAGCAAGACCCACAATAGTGACCCCTGTCTGGTATTAATGGCGTTCAGGTCGGATGAATGTGACCTGGCCGTTCAGACACAGGTCTCATTTGAAAAGATCATATCGAATTCAGGACCACATAGCCAAGTGTTCTGGGTTGCATTGGAAAAAATCGGATCTGTGTTGTTTAGACTGTCATGAAAAGGTCAGATACAGGTCCATATGGGCCAAAAAATTGATTTGGGTCACTTCAGGCTGCAGTGTGAACGTAGCCTTTGACTACAACATCTAAAAGCAGTGAACTCTGCTCTCCAGAGCAAGTAGATTGGTAACCCCGCCTCCTGCTCTCCTCTATCTTGTCTGCTGTCATGATTCATGCAGCTATTATTTCATCCAAATGAAAACTGGAGAACAGAGAAGCAGATCATGGCTTGTCTACAGTGAAAAGAAGGACTGGGTTATTTACTTTCAGCTAAGTGAGCTTAGTGCTTGGAAAAAATCTGTCATTCCCTTTGAGAATGAACATAGAGAGGAAAACAACAAGAAAATGGACAAAACCTAGCACAAATAATGTTTGTCTATTCTGTAACAATTTCTGTGTCTGTATAATGGGTCTGTTTTATGTGCTGTATTCTCAATTCAGAAGGCCCCCTGCCTGTTTTTGCCCAGGGCCCCAAATTTCCTAAATCCGCCCCTGAACAGAACTAGGAGTACAGCGCTCTTAGAACTTTCTGAATGGACAATTTGTTGGGTCTTTTTTTGTATTATCTTAAACAACTGCTAACCCTTTGAACAATTTTGTTTCATGCCAATAAATCCAGGAAAGCATGATGTGTATCAGGTTGCTGAACTTCTCTGATGTCCTGTAATCTGATGTGTTGGAAAACAGGCTCTGCTTCGGTCCTGGCGTTCCTCCGGGCCCAGCTTCGAAAAGCAGAGCCCTGCAGGCTGCTGAAGATGCTTGTGGTCGGTCCACCCAGGCAGGGGAAGTCGGCGCTTGTAGAGGCTCTACTGACAGGCAAGGCGTCTCCCTTCACCCCCTCAGAATGCAGCATCTCTACTTTTGGCTTGGAGCTAGAAAAACCGAACTCAGGCAAAAATAACGTGAGGAAACGCTTCCACTGTCCAGGCTTGTACACTCCAGAGCTAGCTTTGAATATTTCTCCATCTGTTTGTTATAGAAGGAGTCGATAATGTTCAACTTGTGGGATATTGGTGGTCCAGCCAGCATGACCACTGTGAACCAGTGTTTCTTTACTGATAAGTCGCTTTATGTGGTCATCTGGAATCTGGCTCTGGGAGAGGAGGCTGTGGCCAACCTGCAAACCTGGCTTCTCAACATAGAGGTAATCTCTCTGTCACACATGCAGACCTGCTGGGAACAGAAGATTTCATGGTGAGGGAGGAAGATTGATCGAAGTTACACCTAGTTGCACAAAACAACTACAACTACTGGGGTCAGGAGGCCAAGGTTGAGAATGGCTAACCTTGAGGAGCTTCAAACCCCACATCAAAAAAATACTTTAATCATTTAAGAGGAAAAAAAAGGAAATAAAACCATAGATGGTGTTGAAAACAACAACTCAGCAATGAGGAATTGTTGGTTCAATGGTTCTGTTTTTGTCCTCTCCAACTCATTTAATGATAAAACATC